TGCAGCTTTAACTTAGCTCTTTACTTCTTTTAGCTTAAACGTGTATATATATCTTCAAAAGGCATAAAAGCAACTGATTAATGTCAAATTAACCAATGAGTTACACAAAGTTTAACAGAAGCAGCAGATTTTTTTGACTAATATCGGACCAATATCTGATATTAACACCAGATCAGGACATCACTACTGTGCAGATGATGCTTTCCACCGCACAGTGGTAAGAGCTCCTTGAATCCAGCCTTACACAGCTTCCTCAGGAAGTATAGACGGTGATTGGCTTTCCTTGCCAGAAAAGAAGTGACGGTCCCGGTGAGGTCACTACATAAACCTAGGTTTAGGTACCGGCAGCTGGAGACCACCTCTGGGGTACAGGGGATAAAGAAGATGCTTTCCATTACTGCTTTTTTATTACTAGCTTTATTCGAATGTACTCATCTCTGGTTGTGCTTACTCCTGATTAGACCTGAAATAAGCTGTGATGGAAACATTTAAAAACTGATAGGATGAAGAAGAGCCGTTAAGAGAAGTCAATGGAAAAGTGTCAGGGTTCGGTTATTAAACAGCTAGATATCTGAATGAAAAATAAGTGACAATTTGTAAAATATATGAAATATACAGTAGTTCAAATGTTTTTTTTTTTTTCCTCAGAACCTAAAAACACACAAATATAAATTTTGTAATTTATTTTTTCATATCATGTATTCTGAGGTAAAGGAAGCTCTAAAAGGAGCTCGATAAATTAGAAAGTTTTATCTGCTGTTTTTGTATTTTTTATTTCTTTAGACTGAAAGGCAACCACCCTTGTTGGATTTGATTGTGAGTTTAGTTACTATTGATTTCTCTTTATTTCAGCAGAATGAGGAGTGTACTGCCAGCTATAGAGTTTGAAGTATGCGTTTTAAAGGTGCGTTCAAGTGTGGGGCTGTTCACATTTCGAGGTCAGGCAAAACGCACCAAAAACCCTGCAGTGAAGTAGCTAAAACACAGTGCAGCCGTAGTCAACACAATACTCCTAAATGGCTCATTTGATGGATTGTTAGAGTAGGATTCTTCTGCATCAAAACACGACCACAACAAATAAAGCAGAAAAGCTCAGTCCCAGTTCAAGAAAAAACGTTGAAACCGCCCAAAACTTCTCTATCCGTCCACTTGATGCCTTTGGATTGAAGCGGTGTGTTCACCGCGTGTGGGTCCAGCACACAAACACACTACCTCCTAAGTGGCCACCAATATTTTCCATTAGATGGGCTCCCCACTGATGCTTCCTGCATCTAAGCCATTATTTCTGAGCTCTGCACTGTCCTTTAAAATAGAATGAAATGTTCAGAAAGCTTCTGAAAGCTCCTGCGTACAAGTTCACCTGTCAATGGAATTTCAAGACTGTAGATGACGGATTTTTTGGGACACTTCTTGTGAAAAAAAATAAGCCGCTTCAGCTCTTGTCATTTTCAGTAAAGACAGATTTCAGCTGCCCTTTGATTTACTGCTCTGTCTCCATTCCAACCTACTCTTTAAAGTTTAAAGTAATCCAGTAAATCCTCAATAAGAAGACCTGACTCAGCCTTTTTTTAAAATATATTTTTATGTAAAATAAATATAAAAAGATTTTCATATTTATTCATTTATTTTAATACAATCTTTCTTTTACTATACCCAAATTTTAAACTAAAATATTCACATAAATTTGCTTCATTAACCCTTTAAAGCCCGATCCAAGAATAAAACAAAACAGAAAATAACTTTTTTTT